ATTACACCTCTAATTCATACTTGTACAAATTTTTGAAACAATAACCTAAAGTAGAAGCATAACGAAAATGGTTACGACAATTTTGTTGGTAATCGCACTAAAGAGATAATAATGATATAAATTTACGGTTAATCCTTTTCTTTTAGCAAAATCGAAATAAGATTCTTGGCCCATTGTATTTAGATTTAAACGCGAATTCTAAAATGATAATGATTATTTAAATGTAAACAATGCATAATATAGATCACTACGTATATAAAAGTCGAACTATTGATGTTACACAAATGTTACACATTCAGTAGCCAATAAAATCATACTGTATTATTTTGTAGTTACGAGCACATATAGAGTGTCTCATATCAAAAGGGCCATTTTTACATTTAACGTGATCACCATTTAATTCTTTTGTTTAATTTTTTTAGCAACTTCAAATCAGGTAAATCATTTAAAATCTCATCTTCAATTGTCACAGTTTGAATTTCTTATAGCGGAAAAGTTTGCAAAGCTTGTATATTTAACGAAGATCAATAATTATTAAAGCTACAAAGTTATTATATATCTATTTCTAATTGAATTTGTGAATCAATTGTAAAAATACCATACAATAATAATAATTTTTTTTTAACCATCAAAGTTACGAAGCATTGCAATTAAAAATGATTCAATACTGAAATTTTTTATTTTTCATAAATATTTATATTTGAAAATCATTCTTAGCCTTATCGAGTAATTTTAGAAAATATCCGAAAATTAGTATAACTAAACTATAAAGAAAAGCTTTATTCTTTTGAAATGATTAATTAGTTTTAAATAATAAATTGATTGAAAAAATTAATTTTGTCTTTGTATTGAAAATTTTTTTTTATAAATATTTATATTAAAAAATCGTTCTTCATTCTTAGCCCTATTGAGTAATTTCAGAAAATGTCTGATATTTATCACAAACTCTATAAACAAGCAGTTAAAGCTTATAAAAAAATCATGAATATATTATATCTTATAATCATTTTCTAACTGTTGCTAATAGCAAATGTAGAATTGCAGATGATGCAAAACTTTATTTAGCCAAACAACATGAAATGAGATTAATACCAGTAGTTGCTAAAAATTACAACACAACTTTTGATCTCTATGAGCAAGTTAGCAATAGTTAGTCAAAATTCAAATATGAAGCCAAAAATTGGTTATCACAGTATTATGATGAAAATAATGAATACCAAAAAACTTTTAAGCTTTATTTAGATATTTACATTGGAAGACCTGACAAGTTTCAAAGAGCTAATTTATTGTTAGCAGAATGCATTAAAAATAATAGAAGTGTTTTTACAGATAAAAAAAAAGAATTCCAATTTTATTTAGATATTTACAAAAATATTAGAGGATACAAAGATTTCACCAGAACTAAACTAATAGAATGTTATAAATATGGGGTTGGTGTTAGTAAACATGATGAGAAAGCTTTAAAATTCATAAAAGAATCCTTAAATAAATGAATGCATTCTTTTGAAATGATTAATTATGATAAAGATTGCTGTGTATTTTATTTCAAGTGAATTATGTAGTTACAATATCATTAATTTAAATACTTCCTTTAAAATCAAATTTTATTTTTTCTAATTTATGTGTCAACATAGTAAAAATACTATTTAGAATCCTAATTGATTTTAAAATATGTTACCTATTTATTAATTTTGAAACCATGTCATCTCATATAAATTAACCCGGATAACTTTTATAATTAAAAATCTTTTCAAGAATATTTTATATATCTTATATTGAAAAAGCATTAGTAAATTCCTTACACATGAATACAAGCTTAACCTCATTTTGATTAAATGAATTAATGTAATGTTAACGATAATGATAGATTTACTTCATACATATTTATAAAAAAATATGCACTCTAATTTCCTTCGTATAGTACTCTGGGGTATTATTTAATTATTAATACTGGTACTTTTTAAAAAAAAACCAGAGTACTGATGTATATATTAATATTTAAAAAGAATATCTATATAATTTATAAAGTACATATTGATTAATTAATTTTTATATGTAAAAAAAATTCTGTGGACCTTTAATATAAATTGCGAGAAAGAATTTTAAATCCAATTTATTATTTAAGTTTCATATATAATATTGCTGTGCAAACTTTAATGTTAAATTTCGAGAAAGAATTTTAAATTAAATTTATTATTAAGTTTTATATGTAATATTGTTGCACAAACTTTCTAACCTTTCATTTTTAGAACATTTTTTTAACTTTTGTTATTGGTCTAACTTAAAAATCCTTAGTCAACTTGTGTTTTT